TGACGTGGCTTAGCCGTGACCACACAAAACAGAAGAGCACGAAAAATAGAAGGGCAGACAATCCTTGTCCGAATTTGAAAACTCAGAACCGTCCCTGGTGGGACAGCACAACAACAACAAGAACATGCATTGCAAATTAATGGTAAATGTGACATGAACAAAAATAACTACATTTTAGAAGGAAAATTAAATGACATACCTATTATTGAATTTGTGAGTCTTGTATGTGTGTCATATTAACACATTAACAAAGTTATCGATAAAAATTCTAAAACAAAACCACATTAATGTTTCGCTGCAAGTCATGAAACAAATTCATTGATTTTCAAACTTAATGATCAAAATGACATTATATTTGAATGAGAGAAATAAACTTGAATTTTGGATAAAAGTCAAAATTTATAAATTGACATGCACGAATTCTATTGTTTGGATTTATTTATAAACATAGAAATTTAGAATTTCTACGTAAAAAAAAAAAACCCTTAGAATTTGGAATCTCCAATTCTAAGTTTAAATTCTATGTAAATTGGTGTTATTTTCCAAATTTTATGATTAAGAGTTTAAAAATAACAAATTTCGTATTCAATTGCTTTGTTTTTATAGGTTAACTAAACAAAAAATTTTAAAATTTTAAAAAATAAAATTATGTCATTTCAATCTCTGTCATTTTAAAATTCCTTAAAACAACTTTAAATTTCTTTATCCGAATTTACTGATGGTCAATTCAAATGACTACTTTAAATAAAAATCCTGATTAAAAAAATAAATTTCACACATGGGTAGTCCACGTGTCCTCCTGCAGTACATAGAGTATTGAAAATCCCACACTGATCTAGATTAGGATTCTCTCTCTTAATCTTTCTATTTCCTTTCATCATCTTCTCTCACATTTTTTTATTTTATCTTTCTTTTGTTATAAAAAAATTAATATAAGATGTTGACGTGGCTTAACCGTAACCGTTCAAATAGGAGGGAAGGGAAGGAGAGGAAAAATAAAAAAAAGAGAAAGAATCCTATTTCCAATAATCATTCGAATGATGTATTCAATTAGGAATTTGACAAATTTTAGTGGATTTATAAATTGATGAGTTTTTATGGAATTTAACTAATTTGTAGAGATTTCATGTAAAAATTTTATTCAATTCCCACTAAATCTTATGAAGAGATGTGAGATTTGTAAATGCTTAAAATATACTATAAAATATCTCAAATTCTCTCAAATTCCTTAACATTTTCATATTCTTTAAATTCAAATTCTAATTAAATACATCTGAAATATTATAAATTTCTTTAAAATTTTAATTAATGCACCTAAATTTCTAAAGATTTTAAACCATCTTAAAATCTTTATCGGATAAAGATTAAATTTCAAAGAATTTAAAATTCCGATTAAACACCTAGATTGGTTTAAAAATTAAAATCCGTCAAAGAATACACCTCTTTTTTTTTTTATTCCTTCGCCCCAAAAAGCTCCCGATTCTCGGATCACGCAAATCCCAGTATGGTCACAGGTACCGGCTCCAAAAAGCGGCATCGCGCCGTACAGCCCGCCAGCTCAGCCGCCGGCAGCAGTTCCAGCCGCCCTTGCACCGCCGTCATCATCGGCTCCGTTGCCAGAAGACCCACCCATCCCGACCCAATCCCGAGCCCGACTCTGAAACCCGACCCCACCAACCCCTACTCCTTCGACGACCCTTCCTCCGCCGACGTCATTCTCCGCCTCTTCGTCGACCCCTCGCCTTTAGACCCCTCCGCGACGTCATTGTCTCTATCCCCCGCCACCACCCAGCCTCAAGACGACGTCGTTCTCCACCTCCACGCCCACGCCCTCTTCCGCTGCAAGTACTTCGCCGCCCTCTTGTCGGACCGATGGCAGCACCCCGACTCCCAAGACGACGCCGTTCGCAAGATCAACCTCCGTGTCCCACCGACCCCCGGCGCCATGGAGGCCCGCATTTCCCTCCTCCAACTCCTCTACACCCCAGACCTTGCCTCCGCCATAACCACCGTGTCGACGGCGCTCGACCTTCTCCCCGTGGCTTCGGAGCTTCTCTTCGATGATTGCGTACGATTCTGCCTTCGATTCCTGGAGGCCGTCCCTTGGACCCAAGACGATGAAGCTCGAGTGCTCGCTCTAATCCCTCATCTGAGCGAAGACGAATCCAAAGACCTCATCGCTAGGGTTTCTGGAAGCCCCGATTCGAGCGAGGAGATGCTGTACGGTCTCATCCTCGCCGTGACCCACAACCAGAACATGGCGTACGTCAAGGCCTTCGTCGCGAAGCTGCTCCGGGATTTCGGGTCCAGAGACCTGGTCGAGCGGGTTCTGGATCGGGCGTTTCAGACCACCTTCAAGGTCGTCAAGGAGTCCATGGAGGAGTACATGAGTCCCGGAGTCCGTGGCGACCATGACGAGACCGAGGCCATCCAGAGGCTCAACCTCCACACGGCATTGACCCATGGGAAGCACCTGGTGTGGCTCGTGGAGAGGATGATCGAGCTCCGAGTCGCTGACTCGGCAGTCAAGGAGTGGAGCGAGCAGCCTGCTTTCACTGCCGATTTGCAGAGGGCTTTTCAGGACGATGCGTGGAGGAATATTGTGCCGGGGCTACCTAGCGTCTTGCTTCGCTGCACTTCAAGGCTTGCCAATGCCGTCGCCTCTGGAACCATTTTGGTTGCTGCTCAGGTATTATTCCCATGTCATCTTTCTTGCTAGAGTAGCTGAATATCATGTAATTGAAGTTCTTTGTTGGAATACAGAGGTCGTTCTGTTAGTTGTACATTTGGCCATTGATATGTTCATATGGTGCATTGCACGATTGGACTAGTGGAAGCCACAATTTTGATGGGACCTGTTCAACATAGGAACTTTTCTGTTTATGTTCTTGCGGTAGTTTTCAAATTAATGGTAAGTTGAACAACGTTAGAGTTTGAGGACGGAAAGGGAGCAGAACGGTAGTTTTCAAATTATGTTTTCACGGCATGTGGGAGCTAATACAATTTGATGTTGGGTTTCTTCAAACATTTCGAAAGTGGGATTATTGAGTGAAATCTTAATGGGCTGTTTATATTTCTGCTGAACTCCTGAACTGTGAATCTTATGGCATTGACAGAACCAGCAGACACTATAGTCTTCAAAGGGTTACGTTTTAGTATGTTTGGATTTAGGGAAACAGAAAGGAAGAAGAAGGGTGTGGAGGGATACTTGAAATGTTTTCTTTTTCGTTTGTATGGTCAAATGTAGAGAGGAATGGAGAAATTAGATTAGTCTTAAATCCTCAATTTTAGGTCATTTTTGTCTTATAAATGAGATTTATGTGTTGTTCGATTTTAAATTTTTTGAAGATGCTCGCGGTTGAAGTCTTGAAAGCTTTCTCTCCATTATGTCCTAGTTCCTATCCGGCCTAAAAACAAAATTGAATAAAACACTCATTTGCTTTCTCTCATATTTATTCGCTTCTCTTCTAGCATAAAATACATTGTAAGTTGCTTCTTACTAAGTGTGTATGGGCAAGAACTATGCTGTTCTGTTTTCGTTCGTGGGTGATTATCTCCAAATGGAGCAGCAGTTATGTTTTCCTTTGATTTTTGTTTTTTTTCCCAAATGCTTTACAGTAAGGTGTTTCCAACTTTTTAACATCCGAACACGTGGATAATGCTGCTTGGTTAACAACACAATGTAACCGATCTTACTCTCATTCTTGTTTCTTTGGTGTCCAGGGGATTACAAAAGTTTTTATTTTCCCTTTTCTGTTTCAAAACCCGTGGCCCAGACAGATCAACCTGATGGTCCTAACCTAAGGCTGATTGTTTATAATGTTTTTTTCAGGTTCGGAAGAAGCTTGTCAAAGATTGGCTTCCAGTTCTGATTGTTTGTAAAGATACCAATGCTTCCCCTCTGACATCTAGTAACAAACCACTGTACTTGGATCTGGAAGAGACATTCCTCAGAATAATCTCGACACTGCCCATGTCCGATTCACAGGAGTTGCTGCAGCAGTGCCTCAGCTTCTCTACCCGGAACGTGGACTGTCCTCACCTGGTCACTGCGTTCAACACCTGGTTCCGCCGTGCGACTCATTCCCCTCAACGTGAGAATCTTTGTTAAAATCGCTTGGCAAAGTCGCTTCACCCGCAAGCTCAGAATCTTTTGTAAGAATCACTTGTGCATATTAGCTTGTCGTGGAGAGCCAAAACTTGCACCAGGTATATATAACTTGCTTTTGATAGATTAACGGTGATCAGAGCTGGAGTGGATGGATAACTGGATCCTGACAAAATATCTGATCTCGTAGGAAAATTTCTCATCTGTTACGCTGATTATCACTTTGGTACAAATAATGTGTGAATGAGATTTCGTGTTGCACTCGTTAGTTCGCTAACTTTGAGCCGAATCTGGTTGTTATGAACCTACTACATTCTGATGTGTATTCGCGTGCCGGAAATATGCACGCGAGATAAAGCCCGGAAAGGCTGGACGGCTAGTAACAATATCGTGCTTCTTCATTACTTTTAGAAGGGTATTGGGATGTGTCAAGAAAACCACTGACATGGGATTGTTAGGGAGTTGAACAGTGTGAGGCTAAAAAAAACAACCAGGGGAAATGAAATATTGCAGTAGAATTACAGTAGCCGGCGTCTAAAGTTGCGGGTGGTGCCTTGGTAGGTTCGTACGAGCAACCCGACTCCTAGCCCTACTCCAACGCAGATGCTCATGCCGATCCCGACACCCACTCTCACACCGGCATTGAACCATGAAAGCTCACCGTCTTCACCTTCTAAATAGGTCCCGGAGTACAAGTGGTTTTCTCCGTTGTCCGGTTTGTAGTCCGAGTACTCCGACTCCTGCCAAGTTCAAACAAAACGAAATGCTCAAATCAAGAAAAGTTGAAATGAGTAACTAACCAGATTGACAGCTAAAACTAAATAACCAGAGTACCTAGTCATTGAAGAGAAGAAAGGTTCTATAAAATGCTACTATCTCGTTAACAACAGTCTAAGAAAAGATTCAGACTGAACTAGACCGTCATCAAAAACCCTCGGGGCTCGTTTGGTGCCAACGATTGGATTGAATTGGAATGGATAAATCGCACATTCAATGTATGTTGAATGTTAATGGATGCATTCTATTCTATGTATGACTAATCCATCTTCTACCTTCAACGCAGACAACATTTCTAAGTTGGAATCCATTTCTGACTTTTAACATACGCTAAATCTGGTTGGTAATCCATTCCGGTCGAATCCTAGACACCAAAGGAGGCCTTAAAACGAGAGCATGTTACAAAGATGTTTAACAGAGACGGAATGATTTTCTTTTAGTAGAAACAAACCACCGTGCTGCACAGAAGGGTTTCAAAAAGAACCAATGAATTCAGTCCTGCCGGTATGCATGATACGCAATATGACCTCGCAGACAAGTAAACAAGAGAGAATTTCAGTGTACTTTGAGGTACTAGATTTGCATTGTCTTATCACCTAACATAGTAGCCGTTCCTTTTGATAGATTCTTGATTGATCAGCAAAAAGCACAGGAATATCATATATCTCTAACATAAACAACTCGAGAACATATACGATGATAAAATGAGTTTTGTTCTGTTGACTTGGGAGCAGCCTCTCCATAAATGGGGGTAAGGCTAGCCGACATTTACCTCCCCCAGACCCTGCATAAAGCGGGAGCCTTGTGCACTGGGTACGACGACCTTTAGCTTCACAACATGAGCCTGTGCCGCTACAACAATTCATTATCTAGCCGGTGGATCTAACACGCAACAATTTACATACTTTTTCGGTGCTTATGCAATAAGAAAGTTTCACAGGTGAATCGCTGGATCACCGAGCAATAAGCAGAGTGGCATTGGCATCAGACATGGCCGTGGGTAGCAAGGCAACTCAAACTCAAACATGAAATACATAAAGCATGAAAAACACAGAGTCGAAAGTAGGTACCTGAAAAGCGAACCTATGAGGATTGTTTTTCTGGTCTTCAGTTGCCTCATACTCCGGTATGGAATCCAGCAACCCTTTCCTCACATGCCTCTTGCAAAGACCGAGCTGTAAAGTCTTCGTTAAAATTATTGGAGTGCCCGAGAAGGACCCGGCAATGTATACCTCAATCGAAGGCGAAGCAGACTCTGGCCCCATAAATTGCCTTCCTTTAAAGAAGCCAGTGCTTGCAACTATATCTGATTCACAACTCATGCTCCATCTCTGACCATGATGATCTGTTTCCGCAACGAAACCATTACTATTACACAGTTCTAGAACGCCAGATAAGACCACAACGTCTTTGTCCAAAACCTCAAACTTCACACTTCCAGTCATCCTTATGCTGTCAGTGCTCACAAATGTGGCTTCTTCGGACTTCTTATCTAACCTATCCCTTCTAAGAAGGGTTGTCGCCCCATCTGAATAGATGCTAGTTCTAACACCATTGACTTCAAGAAGGGTATCAGGATCCAATGGAATGTGATTTACTGTGAGGAACTCCGGAGCGGAATCATCAATCTCACATTTGCTAATTCTGACATAAAAGACTCTTACATCAAGCCAGGGCAGTGAGACCTTGGATTGTCTCACAACCATGTGGCCATTTGATGCCTCATACAAATTTCCCATGATTCTCAACGTTTCAATTTTCCACGACCAAATCCTCCTTCCACCTCACTGCCTCAGTTGAGCAGATGAATGAAGATAGCCCATGTAGATGTAAACCCTCTGAGCATAAAGAACCTGCATCTATATCAACAAAATCAAATTAGCGAAAAGGCCGAGAAAAGTTATAACGAAATCAAAGTAAAGCAATATATGCAACATGGAAACAACAGAAACCCGACTGACCAGTGAAAAGAGAAATTTACTCGAAACGAAAAAAGTTTCTGTTTGTGAGAGAAGAAAAGAGCAAAACCAGTGACATAGAAGAACCCAACTCCCAAGAATAAAACCATTTTCCAGAAGGATATAGAGGAAGCAGAAAGAAAAAAAGTTCTTGTTCCGCAAAAAGTCACCATAAAAGCTATTTTTTCTGCAAGAAATCATCAAAACAAGGAGACTGATTTTTTTATAGTAACAGAAGCACAGAACCAACCTATAAGCAAGTTTTTCTGCAAGAACTCAACTGAGGAACAAAAAGCTATTGATCACAGAGCGAGAGGAGCAGGAAGAAGAAAACAAACCAAAGCAAAAACAAAAGGATAAAACAGAAAGGATAAGATGGGCAAAAAAAATTGCAAAAAAAACCAGAAGTCTTAAAACATTGGAGAAAATTGAGAAATTCTTTGGGTTTCAGGTTTAGTCAAAAATCACATCGAAATCAAAACGAGATTCATACAAAGAGATGCAGACAAAGCCAAAGGATTGAACGTTGAAACTTACACGCAGTAGCAGCAGAGAAATAAAGCTAAAAGCTTGCTACAAGTGGAAGATTTATTCCCTTCTTTCTACTTCAAAAAAAAAAAATGCTGAACAGAAATTAAGACCAACCCAAGTTGTGAAATTTGAGAAAGAACAATGGGTTTCTCTTAATTTTAGTTTTGGTTTTGTAAATTGGGGATTTGGGATTGATAAGACCAGTGTTTGTTTATCAGAAGTGGGGTCGGTATGTATTTAATATTTCCTCAGATGATGAGATCTTATCCTGGAAGAAAAGAGGGAGAGAGAAAGCATGCACTCTGGTTCACAAGTGCTAACGTAATGAAAGGGACGTCCAGGGCTAATTTTTTATTTGTGAATCTGTTGGAGGATCTTCTAATATCCAAATGATGAAAAAATACAACCATAGGCTACTTGGATTTCCACATCTTTTTCTTGCAAGCTTTAAGTGGCTTCAATCCATTCAATTAAATCGGCGATTGTTTGGTACAAAAACGCACTAAATAATTATCTCACCTTATATATTCATATTCGATGTCTAATAAACGAAATAAACGAGGCTGCTAGGCATGCTACATTATTGCACTAATACAAGTAGCTATTCTCTAATAGAAATATGACTCACCAATACAAGTAGCTCTCCTCCATGAAAGTGGTGTTACACAATACATTTCTTTGATACAAATGCAAGTTTAACCGTACGAATGAACTATCGAGTTCTGGCTATCTCACAATGAAATATAGCATTTTTAAGCATTTGCACACTCATTTCTTGAGCAAAAGCTACAAAACTTACATTTTCAATTGCAAGAAATGTTTACTTGTCAAACTTATAAACCGACGAAGAACATTTTCCTAAGTACATAAAGTCAGTTTATGCATTAAGGTTTGTGGATGTAGTGATCAAACCTTTGTTTTCAAACATTCGGCCGAATCTAACCAATGGTCAAAAATTGCCCACTTGCTAATTGTACATCTATCTTGTCAAATTGAAATTACAAACCCACCCATCACCATGGATTAGGATTTCGTGATAAGTCACCTTTACCTGTGAGCTCCTCTAACCATATTTCTTGTGGCCAGCCTCCCATGACATGTTGCTTTGCCACGCGAGCGCTCATTTCTTTCAGTCTTTTTTCTCTCAAAAGAGAAAAATCTCTAGGTGACACGATGATCATAATATTCAATCATTTACTTTTTGATTTGATATCTAGAGCGACGAATAAATAAATCTCTTTAACTAGTCACAATCCTTGATATCAAATACAACAGTAAGTAAGCATAAATTTTTAGGAAAACTAATGAAAAAGGTTTAAAAACTTTGAGTTTTAACGATAAGGACAAAATAAAGGGTAAAATGAATAGTACCATGTTTGACTTTTTAGTGTTAAAATGTAATTTTTCGTTAAAGTGAACAGTACCGTGGGTTATTCGTTAAAACTCCCTAAATTTTTTACCAGGAGAACGAGGCTCCCTTTTCTCGTTCTTATTTTGTGCTCGATTGAAGCGGATTGAATGCTCGCATTACATGCTGTGCACTTGATCACTTAATTGAGAAACATAAATTATGTGCAGAACGATAAAGGAAGATCACCAATATTGTAAAAAATGGGTCTATAAATAACATGTCACTACGTTTTGTTACCATCAATGATATCAACATATTTTCTCTATAAGCAATAGATGCGGTGATCTAATATATAAGGTAAATTACATAAAACTACCTTAATTATTGGGTTATTAACAGTTTCATGCCTCGTCTTTAAAGTTTCAATGTCATACCTTATCTTCGAATTTGTTGCAATGTCATACATTTCGCCAGTTGTCTGTCAATTCCTCTGTTAAAGGCTGACATGGCTTGAGGCGGGGCCCACTTTCTATTAAAAAATTAATAAAATTATTATTAAAATAATAATTTACCATTAAATTTTTTTTAAAACCCTGATCCCATCTTCCCCGACACCTTTTCCCTGCACCCATCCTCCCGTCTTCCCCAAACCCACCGTGCACCCATCCTCCACCTCCTTCTCTGACTACCCCCTTCCTTCCATCGATCTGCACTTGGACGCGTCGCACCCCAGCTACATCAGCAGCGTCACGTTCGTCGTCGATTTCTAGACTTGGACTTCATCACAGACTCGAACTCCTCAAGATCGTGGTGGTAGTTCTGAAGCTCCACGCCTCGATGCTGTAATTCGAACGCGGACTGCGGTCCGATTCCTAATTTCCGTTCAGGTCGACGTCGCCGTTTCGCGCCTCCGAGTGCAGATTGACCAAGGGAAGGGGGGTTGAGGGAGGGGATGGAGGAGGAGGTGGAGGATGGGTGCACGATGGGTTTGGGGAAGACGGGATCTAGGTTTTTTTTTTTTTAATTTTTAATGGTAAATTATTATTTTATTAATTTTTTAATAAAACGTGGGCTCCATCTCAAGCCACGTCAGCATTTAACAGAGGAATTGACAGATAACTGACGGAAGGTATGACATTGCAACAAATTTGAAGATAAGGTATGACATTGAAACTTTTTAAAGACGAGGTATGAAACTGTTAATGACCCAATAATTAAAGTAATTTTATGTAATTTACCCTAATATATATGCTCGAAGGCCACTCTTTCCGCCTTAACGGCGCATAATGAAAACAACTCTACCGTCACACTTCCAATGACCAAATAGAAGGCCCTCAACCCAAATAATTAATAAGCTCATGCATCACGTGTATCATTCCTATTGTTCTTGTTGATAGTCCATTGATTCTTCAAGCATTACATAGTACGCCATCACAATCAGTGTATACCACAGTTTAAGCAAAAACAAAATTGGTCACCGATATCGTTTATCAAATAGAAACTTATATGCCATTGGAGGAGAGCAGTACAGTACAACTTGAACGAACCGGGATGAGGTTGCCAGAAGGATATAGAGGAAGCAGAAAAAAAAAAGTTTTTGTTCCGCAAAAACTCACCATAAAAGCTATTTTTTCTGCAAGAAATCATCAAAACAAAGAGATTGATTTTTTTATAGTAACAGAAGCACAGAACCAACCTATAAGCAAGTTTTTCTGCAAGAACTCAACTGAGGAACAAAAAGCTATTGATCACAGAGCAAGAGGAGCAGGAAGAAGAAAACAAACCAAAGCAAAAACAAAAGGATAAAACAGAAAGGATAAGATGGGCAAAAAAAATTGCAAAAAAAACCAGAAGTCTTAAAATATTGGAGAAAATTGAGAAATTCTTTGGGTTTCAGGTTTAGTCAAAAATCACATCGAAATCAAAACGAGATTCATACAAAGAGATGCAGACAAAGCCAAAGGATTGAACGTTGAAACTTACAAGCAGTAGCAGCAGAGAAATAAAGCTAAAAGCTTGCTACAAGTGGAAGATTTATTCCCTTCTTTCTACTTCAAAAAAAAAAATGCTGAACAGAAATTAAGACCAACCCAAGTTGTGAAATTTGAGAAAGAACAGTGGGTTTCTCTTAATTTTAGTTTTGGTTTTGTAAATTGGGGATTTGGGATTGAGAAGATCGGTGTTTGTTTATCAGAAGTGGGGTCGGTATGTATTTAATATATAAGAAAAACTAATGAAAAATGTTTGAAAACTTTGAGTTTTAATGATAATGACAAAATAAAGGGTAAAGTGAACAGTATCAAGTGCTTTTCGTTAAAGTTCCCTTTAATATTTCCTCAGATGATGAGATCTTATCCTGGAAGAAAAGAGGGAGAGAAGGCATGCACTCTGGTTCACAAGTGCTAACGTAATGAAGGGGACGTCCAGAGCTAATTTTTTATTTGTGAATCTGTTGGAGGATCTTCTAATATCCAATGATGAAAAAATACAACTATAGGCTACTTGGATTTCCACATCTTTTTCTTGCAAGCTTTAAGTGGCTTCAATCCATTCAATTAAATCGGCGTTTGTTTAGTACAAAAACGCACTAAACAATTATCTCGCCTTATATATTCATATTCGATGTCTAATAAATGAAATAAACGAGACTGCTAGGCATGCTATATTATTGCGCCAATACAAGTAGCTCTTCTCTATTAGAAATATGACTTACCAATACAAGTAGCTCTCCTCCATGAGAGTGGTGTTACATAATACATTTCTTTGATACAAATACAATTTTAACCGTACGAATGAACTATTGAGTGCTGGCTATCTCACAATAAAATATAGCATTTTTAGGCATTTACGCACTCATTTCTTGCAAAAGCTACAATAGTCACATTTTCAATCATAGGAAATGTTTACTTGTCAAACTTATAAACCGACGAAGAACATTTTCCTAAGTACATAGAGTGAATTTATGCATTAAGGTTTGTGGATGTAGTGATCAAACCTTTGTTTTCAAACACTCGGCCGAAATTAATCAATGGTCAAAAATTGCCCACTTGCTAAGTGTACATCTATCTTGTCAAATTGAAATTACAAACCCACCCATCACCATGGATTAGGATTTCATGATAAGTCGGCCTTTACCTGTGGGCTCCTCCAACCATATTTCTCGTGTCCAGCCTCCCATGACATGTTGCTTTGCCACGTGAGCCTCATATCTTTCAGTCTTTTTCCTCCCAAAAGAGAAAAATCTCTAGGTGCCACGATGATCATAATATTCAATCATTTATTTTTTGATTTGATATCAAGGGTGACAAATAAATAAATCTCTTTAATGTTTTAGTCATAATCCTTGATATCAAATACAGCTGTAAGTAACCATAATTTTTTTACCAGGAGAACGAGGCTGCCTTTTCTCGTTCTTATTTTGTGATCGATTGAAGCGGATTGAATGCTTGCATTTTATGCTGTGCACTTGATCACTTAACTGAGAAACATAAATTATGTGCAGAACGAGAACGATAAAGGAAGATCACCAATATTGTAAAAAATGGGTTTATAAATAACATGTCACTACGTTTTGTTACCACCAATGATATCAACACATTTTCTCTATGAGCATTAGATGCGGTGATCTAATATGTAGGGTAAATTACATAAAACTACCTTAACTATTGGATTATTAACAGTTTCATGCCTTGTCTTTAAAAAGTTTCAATGTCATACCTTATTTTCGAATTTGTTGCAATGTCATACATTTCGTCAGTTGTTTGTCAATTCCTCTGTTAAAGGTTGACATGGCTTAAGGCAGGGTCCATTTTCTATTAAAAAATTAATAAAATTATTATTAAAATAATAATTTACCATTAAAAATTAAAAAAAAAAACCCAGATCTCGTCTTCCCTGACCCCCCCTTCCCTGCACTCATCCTCCCGTCTTCCCTAAACCCACCGCGCACCCATCCTCCACCTCCTTCTCTGACTACCCCCTTCCTTCCATCGATCTGCACCCGGACGCGTTGCACCGCAGTTGCATCAATAGCGCCGCGTCCATCGTCGATTTCCAGACTCGGACTTCGTCACGAACTCGAACTCGAGCTCCTCGAGACCGCGGTGGTAGTTCCGAAGCTCCACGCCCCGATGCTCCACGCCCCGACGCTATAATTCAGACGCAGACTGCGGTTCGGTTCCTAGTCTGAGTTCGGGTCGACGTCGCCGTTTCGCACCTCTAGGTGCATATCGACAGAGGGAAGGGGTTTGAGGGAGGGGACAGAGGAGGAGGTGGAGGATGGGTGCGCGGTGGGTTTGGGGAAGACAGGATCTGGGTTTTTTTTTTAAATGGTAAATTATTATTTTATTAATTTTTATAATAGAAAGTAGGCCCCACCTCAAGCCACGTCAACATTTAACAGAGAAATTGATAGACAACTAACGGAAGGTATGACATTGCAACAAATTCAAAGATAAGTATGACATTTAAATTTTTAAAGACAAGATATGAAACTGTTAATGACCCAATAGTTGAGGTAGTTTTATGTAATTTACCCTAATATATATGCTCGAAGGCCACTATTTCCACCTTAACGGCGCATAATGAAAACAACTCTACCGTCACACTTCCAATGACCAAATAGAAGGCCCTCAACCCAAATAATTAATAAGCTCATGCATCACGTGTATCATTCCTATTGTTCTAGTTGATAGTCCATTGATTCTTCAAGCATTACATAGTACGCCATCACAATCAGTGTATACCACAGTTTAAGCAAAAACAAAATTGGTCACTGATATCGTTTATCAAATAGAAACTTATATGCCATTGGAGGAGAGCAGTACAGTACAACTTGAACGAACCGGGATGAGGTTGCCTGGTTAAATTTGGGTCATACTCAGCTTCGATCGAGAAGCCCTATCCAAGAATAATTTATAATTAGCCAAGCTTGAACTCATTTAACAGAAATCATGCTATTGCTATATACCAAATAAGCACAGGTAAAAGATCACACAATTGAAGTATCAAAAGTTTGAGTAGTTTGTGTGGAGGTGCTTTAACCCAGTCATTTGGTTTTATTGCAGAGAATTTGAACATAAACTTCACAGGTGATCATACTATGCAGTAATAGCAGAAAGAATAAGGTAATTAAGCAATTTGCATCATTCAAAACAGACAGTACAATAAGATATTCTTGTCCAACCATCATCGGTGGGGACATTTTGTACTTATAAATAACTGGCAACAATCAGAGAGTACAAGAGCCACTAATGTGGCTAGAACTTAGAACCACCTCAAAGAAAACCGATTTCCTAAACATCAGGGTGATCCCTAAGGGACTATCTCAATTCTCTCTATTAGTCATTGGTCACTTTGAAACCCATGAAGAGCTATTTGTTTGTAAACTCCTGATTTTAACTATCCCCAAGTCCTAAATTGAAGGATAGGCAAATCCCAAGTTTAGCGTCATTCAAACTACCCGAAATCACTTGCTAACACAAGCTGTATGATTGAACAAAAAACACAGAAAATGTCCTTGGCCGTCTACCTTAGAAAGGTATTGGAGTAAATATCAATGTGCACACTAGCATGTAAACATTCAAGACAGTGAAACTATTTTTTAGGAACGTCTAGGGTCTTACACTATGCAATTGCCAGAAAGCAATGGGAAAGGGAAAAGAACAAAGGATGGAGGAACCAATATGCAAGCCAAAGGTAAGTGGATATTGGTAATAAGCAATAGAATGAGCACAAACAACGCTGTCACCTAAAATAGGCTTAAATTTCTCCATCCCTATCGACTTACAACCAGCCTTACATATTTATTTATGTATTATTTTCTTTTTGACAACCATATGTAGTGTATTATATTACTCAAAATATCAATTATCAAATAACTCAAGCCTTAAACAGTAATCTAGTTGTTTCACATTCACATTACAAAATACACACAATAAGCACCCATGAAAAAAATATTTAGTTGCCAAAAAAAAAAAAAAATCAATGCATCCATGTGGATCATTTATACCACAATAAGAAACTGCAATTCCATGCATTACTTATTTTGAAAACAAAAGAGCAGAATAAGATCGATTCTCTAAGGTACCGCTGAACAATCTAACAGAAGTTTAACAGCAGCAACTAAATAGCTGAACTAACTGAGCTGGCATAAGCTACGCAATACGGTGTCCAAAATGTCAAGACATGACTCGGAAGGGAAACCCTATGCACCGATTACCTCTTTTACAAGCCAGTGGGCCTTGTCACAACGGTGATGCAAGACCTATACCACGATGTAGAAAAAATGAGTCAGAAATAGGCACCCAAAGCATATAGAAGCGGTAATCAGTGCGCCACTAGAGAAGAAACGACTGGCTTAAGAGCTGCTTGTTAGTGACCAGAATGAATTAATCACATTTGTCCACTAGAAACTTAAAATTATTATCCAAATTTGACACCGATCCGAGTTTTGATTCTCGAAATGAATGACAGAAAAGACGGATAATGGAGAAAAGGGACAACTTTGTTGAGATTTAGCTCTTCATTTTGTCTACTCAACCATTCAAAAAAGCCAACAAATCCCAATTTATTTCACACAATAAACAAGTAGAAAACACTCCCTATACCTCATTACCGATATAGCTATACGTGCAACTAACAAAACAATTCAACAAGAAAAAATTCAGTGAAAAATAGAAAAATTGGGTAAGTGGGTTACCAAGAGAAAGGGAGCTCCAGCAGGTGGAATCGACGGCAATGTTGGATGTAAGCCGAGCAGAAGCAATGGCGCTGTGAAGCGGCATCATTGACTCCATGCATCCCAATACCGAAACGAATCTAAACACAATAACAATAACAGATATTTGTTAAAACTGGGTTTCAGAAGCCATAGTAATTGTGAAAATTGGAATGAGTGGGAGGGATTTGAGAAGACTGTACCTTGTAGCACAAGGAATTGTTCTGGTGGCGGAAGCAAACGGGGACGCCATGGCTGCCGGGTTTAAGGAGTTAAGGGAGGTTTGGGTGAGGGCTCTTGAGCGAGCTATGGACCTTGAGCCCGCCATTAGAGCTGATCTGCAGAAGGAAGCCATTTCTTGTTCGCAGGATATGGGGTTTGAACGAATCCGCAGGTCGAGGAAGCAGAGAGGCAGCCGACAGCTTCAACCCTACTCGTTTCTGAAGGCACCATTTTCTTGATTTGGGCCTTTCATCTAATTTCGGAATTGGGCCAAATTTGGCCGGATGGGCCGGGTCAAGTTATTCTCGGCCCTCGCCTCATTGGACTACTTGAGTGGTCGGGTCGAACCCGGACATCAAATTCCCATTTCCATCTGATCGGCACTGGCCTGCTCATTCCCAACGTCCCCAAATCGAACCCGAGTCGCGTCGAAGAAGACCCATCGACTCAGCCGTCACCGGCAATGGCTGCGATCCTAGCTCGGAAATCTCTCCAGGCTCTCCGCGCCAGACAGCTCGTGAGTTTATCGTCTGCCCTAACTCCCCTTTTCTTATCCTCCGTTTGGTTTCCGAGAAAATTAGCCAAGAGAAATCCAATCTTGATGTTCCTTTTTGGGCATATATCGAAGTTAAATTTCTCAACTATTTTACTCCTTCCAAATTTCTTGGATCAGGAGCATTGTACCGTTAATCGATTTGTTTGAGCAAAACTGAGCTGGTTTTGTTCTTAAATTATATCGTTTGTAAAATCTTATTTTTTTATTGTATTGATAGTTGTAAAGTTTGAACTCTAAATAGCTAAGTTTTAACACCGAATAGTTATAAAGAGGGTTGGAACCAAATTTCGTTGAGAATTGATGTAGTTTTGGAACAATTGTTGCTTTCTGAATGCTATGTGTTGTGAGCTTTAGATTGGTGTTGTTAACCTCATTTTTTCATACGGGAAAGATGATTTAAAGTGGTGTTATTGACCTTATTTTTTTCACATGGAGGTGTATACTTACGGGTAATGGAAGGCATAAAAAATGAAAGAATTGAGTATGCCTTGCAATGTCATTTGCTCTGAGAATTAGGGGGATTGTGGGGCAAATGAAAGGAGATGGGGGAATTCTGGGTTATTGAGATTTAGAGTGTGTTTGCTTCTCGGAATGGGGTTTTAGGAATTTATTCCATGAGATGGGCGTCAGAAGTATTTGGAAATGTTGGGAATGAAAGTGATTAGGACACAGATTGACCTTTTCTGTTCAGAAGCAAATACTTGAGGTAATCATTTTGATTTTTTGAATGTCAAAAACAGAGAATGGGTTTAGAAAACCCAGCTCTTCCTTGGGTTAACAAAACTTCCATTTTATGGGTTTTGGATATCTACAAAACTTAGAATAACCTCATTCCTCAGCATCAGTTCTTCAAATCAAACCCACCGATGGTTTTTTCGGAGTTCTTTGGCATTGGAACTACACACAAATTCCTGAGCATCAGTTCTGCAAATCAATTATATTTGATTAAAAATACTAGTTATATCTCCTAGTTTTGTTTGAGTTGTTGGTGGTTTTCTGTTTGCTGTGTTTTGTTGGGCAATGTTGGTCTTCGTGACCACCCTCCTTGTTTCTCTTTTTAGTTTCTTTAACATACTCATATCCTTTTCACAAGAAAAAAGAACTAGATTTCTGCTCCTTCCAATAAATGAACTAAGTATCATACTTTGTCACCATCAGCATCTTTGATGTGTCAATTGTTTAGCATACACTTCGACACAGTTTCTTATCTTAGGTTCGCTCCTTCAATTATTTCATCTATATTCTGTTTCTCAACTTCCAAATGAAATCTATTAAGTCTAAACTAAGTTTTTTCCCTTTTTCTTCTATTAAATTTCATTTCAGCATAATTCTTGCGAGAGCTTTATTAGAACCCTTGGGTTTATATATACCTGTATCATATTCTTTTTTAGCTATTGGACGATACAAGATTTATCCGGTCCATTGTTTGGTTTGTGTTTAGGCTGTACCAGGGCAAGCATTGCAGGGTTCTTCCTACTATGGACTGCAATCCACTTCACAACACTTCTCCACTATAAAAGGTTCATATTCTGTGGTTCATGTGGTGTTCAATATCATGCTGTATTAGGTGATTTGTCATGTTGTGATGTTATTTTTTAGAGTTTGTACTTATTTATTATGCCAATTTCAGAGGATGAGGAAAGAGAGCAACTCGCAAAGGAGATCTCCAAGGATTGGAGTTCTGGTAATCTACCGTCCTCTCAAGAGGAAAATACCATTATGTTTGTTCTTAATCTGGTGTTACATTATTTTTCCACTGTCTGAAATAATAGCCTCATTTTGCTAATTACTGCAGTTTTTGATCGAAGCATAAACACATTATTCCTCACTGAAATGGTTCGAGGTCTGATGCTTACGCTCAAGTACTTTTTTGAGAAAAAAGTTACTGTAAGTATCATTGAACACACATTGCCAAGTTTGTTTTTCATTTTTTTTCCTGGTGAATTATGACATCTATCTTTTATTTTTGCAGATCAATTATCCTTTTGAGAAGGGCCCTTTGAGCCCTCGTTTTCGTGGTGAACATGCCCTAAGGCGATATCCTACGGGAGAAGAGCGTTGCATTGCTTGCAAGCTTTGTGAAGCTGTAAGAGTTGAAACCTTTCTTTTGGTATTCTAGGTTTTCGCATATGAATTTAAGACAACTTATAAATTTAGGATTTGACAATGAAAACTCTTGCCTGCTAAAACTGTTTAGAAAATTCATGATTTTTTTTGTTTGTTTGTATATCTGGCATCAGTGTACATGTTTCTGTGTTGGTGTTTATTTTTGTGGATATTTATTCCATGAGCTGCTTAGCTTAGAGGCCAGACAATTCTGCCTACTGGCCACATTCGGAAAACTATATTGAGTCTGTTGCTTTGTTTGGCAGCTGTGCCTCATTTATGCCCTACTTGCTTTTCATATTAGTATATACTTTTTATGTGTGCATGTAAGATATCAAATCATTATGTTTTCATACTTGTATCTCTATACATTGTGTGCTTTCTGCACTTTCTGCTTCGGATATGATTCAATCTCATGTAGAATTTGAAGAATCATTTCACTGTGCAAATCGTTAACAGGCAACGTTCATGTCCTATGTTATAATGTTTGAGCAGCTGAATATTCATTTTAACTTACAAAGCAGTTGTTTTTTGTCAGATCTGTCCTGCACAAGCAATTACAATTGAGGCTGAGGAACGAGAAGATGGTAGCCGTAGGACAACTAGGTGAAGAATCATTCTCCTTTTTTCCCCTTCCCTCCCCGTTCCTTTCCGTCTCAATCTTCTCCTCACATTTATCTAGTCTTTCAGGTACGACATTGATATGACAAAGTGCATCTACTGTGGATTCTGTCAAGAGGCATGTCCTGTTGATGCCATTGTCGAAGGGCCAAACTTTGAATTCTCAACAGAGACTCATGAGGTTAAGGAGCATCCTTTCTATTGACTCATTGCAACTAATCCTATGTTTTCATTTCTATTTTTGTCACTTTGGGCAACAACTGATCCAAGCATTTCTTTCTGCCTTTGTTGCAGGAGCTTCTTTACGACAAGGAAAAGCTGCTGGAGAATGGAGACCGTTGGGAGACCGAGATTGCTGAGAACCTCAGATCCGAAAGTCTTTACCGCTGATTTTGCACCCATGGTTTATTTCCTAGTTACCATACTCTATTTTTCTTGACTTTTTCAGTATGGGGAAAAATAATAAGATCCGTCAATGGATCTTAAAGAGTTTATTGTTTGTTTCGTGATAGTAATGATTCCAAATGCGATGTAGTTTTTTCTTTAAGATATTTAAACACATTCAGCATGCTCGAACGCGAATTCTTTTGAGAAACAAAATGTTGTCGACATCAGAGAAGCATTTTCATTATGCTGCTGCCTCTCTTGCTCTTTCAAATGAATCACTAATTATTTTATTAAGGACATTGATAAATATTCGGGATTGAATTGTTTGTGAATCGATAGCATTTGGAATCTATTGCATTCTGCGTGCCCAACAACTTAGAAACCACAAGCCCGGATCTTAACTCAAGTGACGGGAGAAGTGGGGTTTTTGAGATAACAAGCTATTCACGAGTTGTTTGATAGTAATAATAAAGGGCCTGTCTTTGGATACCGTCTTTGAAGGGTTAAAAGCATTCTCAGATGCTTACGAGGAAAAGCCTTGGTGTTGGTTTGTCTGTTTTTCAGGTTCTCTCTCTAGCTTCCTTCTCTGAACTCAGAAACCAGATTTGAAGGCCTCCCTTGCCACCTCTCCTTGCTTCGGTTTGGGGTCGAAGGCCTCCCTAGCCATCTCTCCTTGCTCCGGTTTGGGGTCGAAGGCAACCTAACTCCCATTTTCTTCTAGTCATCCTCCCTCTTCCCTTTTCTTTTTCGCCCTCTGCATCTTTCCTCTTCCCCATCCTTCACCCATCCGTCCTCTGCACTGTTCTCTCTTTTGGCCTTTGTTTTGGCTTTCCTTGAGCTTCGTTCTTTGAACTTTGTCTCAATTCCCATGAGCATGTCTCAAATCTGGACTTTCATGACCCTTTATTGCTCCGTTGCTCCTTTCCGTTGCACGTCCTCAATCACTGGCCTGCTACTCGGTTTGTGTGCTTCTCCTCGAGTGTTAGGCGGTTGTTCAAGTGCTTTCAGCACTATTTGGTAGGATTATAGGAGCGCTCACTGCGTAGGTGGCTCGCTCACCCCCCATTTTCCATTGATCTAGTTGTTTCATTAGTTCATTCTTTTGGTGATGGTGGCCTTGCGATGGAGGCGCCTCTGGTGGCTGCTGGTTTCCATTCCAGTTTTGGTATTTTTTGTTCTTCAGCTGGTCACTTTTGGGTCGTTCTATTGTATTTTCTTATCTGTTGTTGGGCTTGTATTTAGGTTATGGGATGCATTTTGAGTTTTTTTTTGTTGTTGTTCACCATAACACACATTATTGTTAACTCATTGTGAAGTTTAGCCTACTCCTCCACCTCTCCCTCTTAGTGTAGATAATATTGTTTGTTAAAAAAAAAATGAATATTTTCAATTCCTGGTTCTAAAAGACGTTAGGCGCTAGTCGGGCGGGAGACTAGAGCCTAGCACATAGACGGACTAGGCAGACTAGGTGGATTTAAGTAAATGTATTATATTTCGTGTAAATAAGTGTGTGTCTATACTTAAAATATATATAATTTTATCATAAACTAT